TTTACAAATATCAAATCGGAAGAAAATAATCAATATCTCACGATGCCGCCAGCAAATGACAATTGCAGTCATTCTGTAATTACCTTAGTTATATTTTCTATGTGAATAATCTAAGATTTTATCGATGCCATGAACTCTATTGCTGCATCTGTATTTTTTTGAATTTTGCCGGCACGGTCGAGAGGCGGGAGTATGTGGTCTGGGCAGCACACGTCATCCATATACGGACCATTGGAAATGGTAACTCAGGTTTCACCTCCAAAGGAGTGGATTTTAACCAAACAGGACGCGACATTTAACTGGATGCCTACTTATTGCTAGATGTAAAAAAAAATATGCTTTTTAATTAATTAAAAGTTAAACTATCCACGAACTGAAGAAATTAACACAAAATAATTTAAATACAATATATTACTACTGATATTTCTTAGTAATGAGATATTCCGTTGTTAAGGTGACACTAAATACTTTTATTCGTGTCACTTAAGATCTCTTGCTACCATAATTACGGAATATCTGATTTGAAAGTAGAGGAGATTCAGTTGTGTATCCGACGGATAAATAAGACGAAAACCTGAAAATGAAGTGAGGAGTGTAAGTAGGGGAGGCACGCTGGGGTAATGGATAGCGGCTCGGATTGAGGAATCGGAGAGCCGAGTTCGAATTCCAGGCGAATCCATTATATTCACTTACGTGTTAATATCCTTGGAAAAGTTATGAACCACCATCTATGGATAAATAGCAAGACAGATCGGGTTCTGTAGCCTTGGATGGCAACTGATCTACCGCAGAAAGAAATGGCAAACTACTGCCTCGTCAATCATGTATCGAAAGATACATGATCGCCTAAGCGTGTATCACGTATGACACATAAGTGACTGGGTATAACAAAAGAAAATTTTTGCTTTATTCTGCAAGGCAAAAAAAAGACTTGCTCTTCGGCTCCAACGACAAGAGTCATTGCTCATAGCTGTAATGCCAAGAACTGAAATTCTATACAACACAACTAACGATGAAAAAGCTTACTTAAGCTTATTTGAGTTTGCTTAATTATCATTACAGAAAATAAATCATTTCTTTACGAAATCACAATTACATCGAACTTAGAAATAAACATGGATATTTAGAAGGAGGATCAATATAAATTTTTTATGATTTTAAACAAAACCGATGACAATACGAAACTAAATCAGTCCTTCAAGACATCTTTTTTTCTATATACCGTGTCCCTTAAGCACGTTCGTGGTCATAGATCTCAACAATTTTCTATCCCATCCATAGCTCTTAGTAACTTTTATCTTTTTCCTATCTCTCCCATCCACTGCTCCGCCATTCATTTACACAATCTCTCCAGTTAGGTTGTACGTTGCCTTTCTCTGTCTCTCTTACATTCAATCTGTGCTGTGACTATCTAATTTTCCAAGCCCTCTGTCCTCCTTATGTGTCCTAGAAACCTCAACCTTTCTTCCTGATGTTAAGCATCAGTCCTTTTGAATGCCATAATCTCCATAACTTCGTCGTTGCTCACATGTTCGGTCCATGGTATTCTCAGCATTCTTCTATAGAACCCCATGTCCGTTGCTTCAAGTCTACTCTTCATCCTTAATGAGATCATCCAGCATTCAGTTCAGCATTCTTTTCTTTCTAACGTTATTTTCCTTTTTCTTAATACTTTGCTCAACTTTTGAAAGGCATCTTCCGCTATTCCATTGCATCTTCGGATTTTAGTGTCGCACTTACTGTCATCTGTTAATACGCTTCCCAGATATTTCGGCATCTCCAATGTGTAATTTGTATGTTAGGCTGTCCCTTTTGCTAGCCACCATGCATTCAGTTTTCTTGCAATTGATGGTCGGTCTTCTTTTTTTTTGTCAAGTATTCACTGCTATATAGGAAGACTGATATTACGTAAGAGTTAAGTACTCTTTTCTTTGTTCTAATGAATGTATTTCTGTTTAATTAATACTTTGCTCAGCTTTTGGAAGGCATCTTTCGCTATCTCAATGCGCCCTCGGATTTTAGTGTCGCACTTTCTGTCCTTTGTTAATATGCTTCACACATGTCTAAATTTTTGCACCTGTTTGATTTCGGCATCTCCAATGTGTAATTTGTATGTTGGGCTGTCCCTTTTGCTAACAACCATGATTTTTTTTTTTAGCAATTGATGTTTTATCCGTTATTCTAGATTTCTTCATTACCTTCTGTAGGAATTCATATCAACATTGTGTCATCCTGCATGTCTTATGTTGTTAAGATTGTGACTGCCAATAATAAATCTTCTAACTGGACATCATATTCAGAATCTCTTTGCTAAATAGGTTGTTGTGGAGTGATTTCACAGTGGAGGTTTGTATTTGTACTAAGTCGGTCCTAAAATAGGTTCGACGTACAAAACGTTAGGAACTTCATATAATAGGTATGACGCAGAGTAATCTAGTTGTGGTCGCTGATACTTTAGTATCCGACTAACGGTCGTCCGACATCGACTGAAGGACCGACGATATTCAGTCACCCCTCCCACGAGGGCGTCATGTGGCACAAGGCCTTTTTAACGTGGGATCTCCGAGCCCGTGGACTCGGCCAAAAATATGCCCGTTGAACCCGTATAAACGGGTTCAGGGTCGGTTTACCTCACCGAAAGAGAATCAGCTCTTCGGCGTAGCCTCTTTCGGGTTCCTCCCCGCCCGAAGGAAGAGAGATCAACCGATCAGCCAGTCGACTGACTGACCGACTCACTGACCGACTCTTACTACTCCTACTTATTATATGTGGGAGAGTCTATTAACTATAGAATAGGTGTGTTCCACTATAACATAGGTTGAATAAATCTGGTGAGAAGACACATCCTTGTCTTACACCTATTTTTCTATTTTTGTATATTTACCTAGGCACGGTGGAGTAATGGATAACGGCTCGGATTGAGGAACCAGAGAGCCGAGTTCGAATTCCATTCGAATCCATTACATTTACTTACGTGCTAATACGTTTGGGAAAGATATGGATCATCTTCCCCTACCCCCAGCTATGTGTAAGTAGCAGGACAGGTCAGGTTCTATAGCCTTGGATGGTAACTGGTCTACCGTAAAAAAAAAAAAATGACACCTACTGCGGGAAAAAAATCTGTTTCATCTGTCATGTATCGAAAGATACATGAACGCCTAAGCCTGTATTACGTATGGCACATAAGTGACATATTTACTGAAATATTTTCCTATCCGTATGCTGGCGGTTTTCTGACGATGTAAGTTCTGGATTATTCTAATATCCTTCCCAAATATTTCAAGGTTAACGAGGAGTTCAAACAGTTCTTTGCGACATACTTTATCAAATACTTTTGCATAATTAATAAAATATAGCTATACATCTTTTTGCATTTGTATTGCTCTTTCTGATTACGTTCTGAACATAAAAATAGCATTCCTTGTTCCAGTGTAACGAACCCGCACTGTTCTTGTCCTATTTCCGGTCTGATTCTGCTACGCACTCTATTCATCAAGATTCGTATGATATGTTATGTTACACTTCTCACTAGGCCGATTGTCCTATGGAGTTCCCATTTGTTTTCATCTAAGATATAGATATGAAACTTCTTACACTCAATAACACTGAAATAAGATCCATCAATCTTTATAGCAGTTTACTTGATTATTACTCCAGCTATGTAGGAACATAAAACACATGAACCTGGCTTACCATTATGTTCTATAATTTCACTAATTCCCTCGCTTTTATTTCACTTAAACAAAACTTTAAACCAACTGATCCTACTATAAATACAGAAAAAATATACCGTTAATTCTATTTAGCATTTTGTCTATATGTTATATTAAAAACACACCTAATAGCACCATTCTTGTCTTGCTGGATGTTGAAGTTTTCTTCACAAATATCGTTGTCAAAGACACTATAGATAGACTAAAAAAGAAATATATAATCATTTTTCACTCCCACCACCAAATAATAAACTTCTACGTAAACTTCTATCCATTCTCAAATCAAGTACAAAGTAACATTTACATAGAGACGGGTGGAATGGCTATGGGCTCGCCTCTCGGTCCTACTTCATCTATTTTTTTTTCTTAGAAAATAAAATCGTTCATAATTTTGCGAAGACCATGGAATATGCTGGGGATATTGATGGCATTTTCATCATATAAAAACAGAAGCAAAACTTTTTAATAATGAAGTTAGATGTCCTCACAATTATAAAGTATTAGCCGAACCAAAACAAATTCTTTTTCCACATATATAATGCTATAAAGAATTAAGCGAAATAAAACAAACACTTGTCAACAATGATTTCCTTAGCCATGTCGCCGATGTGTAAATAAATTAGATTTTAAAAGATTTTAGGAAAAATACGCAGTCATCCTGATATCAACGAAAATAAATTGCTCTTATTCTATCGTAGCCAGCTGAACAAGATGAAAAGGTTATTAAAAATCTAATTTGCGGGACAACATATCGCTTAATGATTGCAATAAATAACTTAATTATTGTAATAATTCATTCTCTAGCGACCAATTAACACTTGACACAACAAAATGGGGGCCATTACTTTATTTTACTTTCTGTCACGTAATGAAAGATAAAATATTACAAAAAGAAACATTTAAAAATAAAAACTGACTTTTGTGATGAGATAGGAAAACGGTTAGGTAGACTATAAAATAATGAAGACAAATCTTGATATTAGTTTCGATGCAAGAGAGAAATCAGTGAAAATGTAAATAATGCTTAGCTAAAAAGTAATTTCTGACAATAGATTGTCAACCAGTGTATATTGCGCAGCAGGATCTTAGTGCAGTAAATGTTAGTATAGAAACAATAATCAACTCTGAAGCCATGACGGGTTGTGGAAATCATTTCGTGAACAATAATGCATTATGTGCCTGAAAAAAAAAAGAATCATGCTAGTAGACATTGGAATGTCAGAGCGTAAATTGCACGGAATGACCGCATTGATTGAAGGTGAAGGAACATCTAGAGAGAGAAAGTGAATGTCTACTACGAAAAACTCTCTCTCTCTCTCTCTCTATCTCTCGCCACCTCTCTCTCTCTCTCTCTTTGCTTCTCTTACAGAACGAAACAAAACAGCAATCAGTAAGATGAATGTATACGCCCCACCCTACACTTATATTCGTACCAAGTAATAGTATAAACTAATAACTGAGCATTTAGCAGTTTTCACTTAATTATACAAGCAAGACAACACGGTATCACCCGGGTATATTTTTTCAGTGGTAGCAAGTGTCTCAAACTCAAAGACACAAATGTCTATTTCATACTAAGGAAGAAGTGACGCGGCTCGATAAGTAACCAATGGGATAGCTATCAACTTTCCAACCAGGGCTCTAAGGTCACTGTGGAAGATTTCCTAACCATGGAGTCCGTAGTCTCTTTTAAGGAGATGATTCCAACCAAACCTTCACAGATCCACAAAGCTAAATTAAATTATTTTGGTATTTTTTTATCGATAGGAATTCCGAAAATAACAGAAGGCGGAAATGTAAAGAGAGAAGGGCATATAGGCAACATTTCTCAAGTATTCCAGCTGTTCGTACTTATATGTTATACAGTATCTATAATGGGTATGTCCCAATCCTTATAAATACAGTGGAATATACTGTATATTGATTCACTGTGGAATTCTCTTCCCGGTGTTCGGGTCAAACTCTCTGTCACCGGTTAGAGAAGAACCCAGAAGAGGCTATGCCGAAGGTTTTAGTCTCGTCTCGGGATTGAGACAGCTACCCGACCTTGTGTATATGGGGTCTACCGGGAAGGTTTACCCGAGCCTACGGGCCCGGTTCACCCCACATTAAATTCGGCCTTGTGCTACATCTGACCGCGTGGGGAGGTTAGTGAAGATGTTCACTTGCAATTCACCTTGATCCACTTCTAGCAATTGATTACTTACTACACGCCATTGTTTCTGTTATAAATATTATCATTTCCAAGCTTCGTTTTGGTTATTCTTGTTCAGTAACCTTTTCCTAGGTTACAACAATATTCACCTTTTTAATGTGGATCAGTTAATACAGGACACGTCCTTCACCGTCCAAACTGAGCTTTCTTCCTTTCCCTGGGGAGGAACTAGAATAGACCCCCTCTCATTGGACTTAAAACGGATTGAGTCGCTGATGACACTGCTGAGGTAGGTCTAGCTCAATACGGCTACTGCGAAAGTCTAGAAATTCTGAATGACAAACTTATTAAACGTTAAATATTGATCACTACGAGAAAATTGCAAAACACTTATCATTGATGTAAAAGACATCCACGCGATCATGATATTCAAGAGGTTCCATAATAAAATCAAATTATCTTTGGAACTATATATAAATATATAGATTCGTTACAGTCCGTCACGTTCCGTTTTCGCTTCACTCGAATTGCGATTAGCACACCCAAAAGGTATGTGTAAATTTAGAAAGCGTTTTAAAAATAATTATTCTCGTAATATTAATCCGTTAACTGCGAAAGACGGAAATGTTAATAATTCCAGTTAATGGCAGAAATATCCAACAGTTGAACATATAACTCAATAAAAGTGACTAAAATTTCAGGTTTATTTTATATCAATCGAGGAGACGGTATATATAAAATCGATACACCTTCTAGTCTCCGAGGATAATTTCAATTTTTGCTTCTATTCGATATTTTCCAAATTTACTCTTCCAAAAGAACAAAAACCCCAAATTCTCTCATTCTATCCTTCTATCATTCTTTCATTCTCTCGTTCTATCATTCTCTCATTCTATCATTCTATCATTCTATCATTCTCTGAAATCGATCACGCAAAAGCGGATTTTTCTAAATAAATATTTCAAAACAATTTTATTTTAGTTTCGCTTAAAACCATTTTCTTTAACAAGGTTTATTTTAATGCATATTACTTCAAATCATATTGAAGTAAAAAAAATTAATAGAAAAAAGATTTGTAAAATGTTTACTAATTTGTCCCGAAAGTTAAAATTACCCTGACATTTAGAAAATGGCAACAGGCTTGTTCACATTGCAGTCAATGAGTTTAAAATATCATTCTTTAAAACGTCACCTTTTTCTTATAAATCTATTTTATTTATATCATAAAACATGCAACAATATAATTACCCTAAGAGAAATAGTTTCTGTGATTTTCGGTTCAGACACACACAGTTATTGGAAACTGAAAACGCTTAAATACAAATGGAAGATCACGTGGAAGAAAAAAAATTTAATCTTGGAAGCGTTATATAGAAAATGAAAGCATTTAAATACTAGTGGGGTATCGTATGAAATAGAATTATGTAATATATTTTAAATAAATTCTAAATAATTAAATTTATAAATAACTACAATAACTTATTATATAGTTTGATTTTTATGCCACAATAGGTGCGTTTATTTGGATGATTCTTCACGAATTAATCTTATTATCTATGAATTTTCTTACTTTCTTGGGAAATCCGTGCACTAGTTTTTCGTTTGCCTTCTCTGAAGTTTGAAATAAGAATG